TACTTTTACGAATACGAATATCAAACCTAGTATCCGGCGAATGTGAACACAAATACAAATATCTTGGCAAAGTAATAAAACTTTCCTTTCTTATTACTTTTAATAAAGTAATAATTAAAATTTACAACTATCAAATTTTTATTAAGAAACAACATCAGTAGATTCGATGGTGACAGGCAATTTCTTTTTTAAGTCTGGATGTTACCTACTAGCCGTTGAAAAAACCTCCGCGGCGACTGTACACGGTTTGTATGAAAAATATTTTTTCACAAGTGCCAACTAATTTGGCTTGGTTAAACAGGCTATATTAATTTGATTGTTATTTTTTTTACTTTCAACCATATCCAAGTTAAAGAGTGAAAAATAACCAGTCATCGAATTGTATGTAGGTATATTAACTAATTATCTTCCTACAAAAATATATAAATTAACTAATTAAGATTTAACAGCCTGTCAGCTCATTTTCGTTTGATTTTCCATTTGGAAAATGTAATTATTCAATAAAATAATTTACTGTAACTAAATATGTAACGTTTTAATTTATGAGCAACGAAAGAATTTAGGTAATAAGATAATTCTACATATAAATTTCTATATTTAAGGGATTTTAGGGGAATTTAAAAAATACTTATTGTAACATTTTGGAAAGGGTTGGTAACACTGTCAGTAACTCAGAGTAAGTCAGTAATAACGTATATGTATGTGTTCTGTGGTAATAACTATTGTGTTTTTTATAATTTATGTACGCTCTAATATATATTTATCCCTGAACTTACAAGCGTTTCCTTAACAAAATAAAGAAGTTCGGGGCAAGGCATAGCGCCGGTTAATATTCATTAACATTTTTTGTGTCCGTGATGCTAGCGTACCCACGATCAATACAGGGTGAAATTGAATGTTTTAATGAAACTTCGTGGGAATGTTGGGTTACGTATATAGAGTATCTCTGAATTTTTTCGGATTTTTTAAAAAATGATTTAAAATAAAATTTTGTTTTTTTTTGTTATATTTTAAGTCCTTTCCTCCTTTTGGGTACTAAATAATTATTCTTTTAAAACATGCATACAGAGTAAGTAAAAAACAAGTAATAAGCACTACTAAAAAAGACGTAAAAACAGGAGACGGGCGGCCGGGAGCAATGACCGCTCCCGCCGTTGAATACCTTCCTGCCTACCTATCTAGGTATGCGCGGTGCACAGCACAGTGAGCGAGCGGAGTCTCAAGCGCGCGTGCGTATCTTTTAAATTTGTGACAAGACAAGATTTGCAAATAATGCCTTGATTAGTTCTTGTTCTGTGCCCTCAATATAAGAATTTGGATATGGTGTGTTGTTATTGCGAGTGTCACGGAATACTCAGCAGAGTCACAAGGCTTTACGAAAGTAGGTTTGGTGATTTATTGGGAAGTTATAGTGAAAAAAATTAATAGGTACATCGGTCTCGTAAGTACTTTTGAATACCTGGTAATAAATTTCATTCTGACCCAAGTATTGAACTGCATAAGTATTTCTTTTTGTTGAACTTTTGCCTATTTCCAATCGTGACAAAATTATTATTAACTTTTTAAGTTTTTCTCTGCTTAAGAGAAGATGACATTTGTGCTTATTATTTCAATTTCAATAAAGGCATCTAAGATTTTATTGTATTGTGTGGAATCAAACGAGTCAGCTGAGCTCTGTGTACGTACCTACTCACTCAACGGCTGGCGGGCGCGGTCGGTCGCTGACCCGCGGTGGAATTTTACTGTTTTTCCATTTTTTAGAAGTGCTTATTTATTAGTTGTTTTTCACTGGATATGTAAGCATGTTTGTTTAATATGAATAACTACTCAAAAGGAGGAAAGGACAAAAAAATACACAATTTATAAATAAATACATGAAAAAAAAATACTTCAAAAAAATCCGAAAAAAATCAGGCATACTCTATACTCGTAACCCAACAATCTCACGAAGTTTCATTAAAACATTCAATTTCACCCTATATACGGTTTTTCGTTATGCCATTAAATAGTGCGGAAATAGTGCCAAATTAGTGTAAAAATAATAAAAATAGTGCCTCTTTAATTTAAGAAATAAAGACCATTTTTACTGTGTACGCTACCATGACGTCAAGCTAGCGTACCCATGGCCGACCCCAAGAACGGCATATATTTAAGCAACGAAATTGACACACAAAAATAGTTGGCAAATAGTGCCCTGGCTTTACAAAATTTCATAATCAATACTCTTAAAGGACCAAAGATATTGAACTAAACATTCTTAGCTGGCGTCAACCTGGCGTACCCTTAATAGTTCTCATAGAAAATGAACTTTTCTCGTTATCAATTCTATATGTATAAATAGTGTGTCAAATAGTGCCTCTAACAGTAAAAGTATTTTATGTGAATCCGCATCACAACAATACATAAAGAGGGTGTTAAATTCTAGGAACAAATGTATTGTAGTACAGTTACACACAAAATTAATTTATGCAGTAAGAGATTATCTTTATATGTATTTTTACTAAAATAAATAGGTACTTTTTATAAAAAGATATTATATTTCAATTCGAATTCACCAATCATAAATTCATATAAGAATTTCAACCTACCTACCTACTAAGTACCTTACTTACCTACTATACTACGAAAATATTATCACTTCTGTACATGACTGTACTTCATATATAAAAATAATTTAATTGCTTTTTTTATATTGTTTTACTGCGAATTCACATAAAATACTTTTACTGTTAGAGGCACTATTTGACACACTATTTATACATATAGAATTGATAACGAGAAAAGTTCATTTTCTATGAGAACTATTATGGGTACGCCAGGTTGACGCCAGCTAAGATTGTTTAGTTCAATATCTTTGGTCCTTTAAGAGTATTGATTATGAAATTTTGTAAAGCCAGGGCACTATTTGCGAACTATTTTTGTGTGTCAATTTCGTTGCTTAAATATATGCCGTTCTTGGGGTCGGCCGTGGGTACGCTAGCTTGACGTCATGGTAGCGTACACAGTAAAAATGGTCTTTATTTCTTAAATTTAAGAGGCACTATTTTTTTTATTTTTACACTAATTTGGCACTATTTACGCAGTATTTAATGGCATAACGAAAAACCGTATATTGATCGTGGGTACGCTAGCATCACGGACACCATTTTTTTACACTGAAGTAAGTTTTTATAAGTTTGTGTTTTTATATTTTTTGTACGCTCTAATATATATTTATCCCTGAACTTACAAGCGTTTTCTTAATAAAATAACGAAGTTCGGGGCAAGGCATAGCGCTGGTTAATATTCACGAACATTTGGCATTTCATTTAATATTAAATGTTATTATTTAATTAATTAATTTCGTGGAACCTTTTTTTGAAGATGCAGGCAGCATAATTTAATTTGAATTTAGTTTGACATGTTAGATAGATAGACAAAAAAAATGTTGTGTGTCATGTTTTTTACACTGAAGTAAGTTTTTATAAGTTTGTGTCTTTATATTTTGTGTACGCTCTAATATACATTTATCCCTGAACTTACAAGCGTTTCCTTAACAAAATAAAGAAGTTCGGGGCAAGGCATAGCGCCGGTTAATATTCACGAACAACTATTAAGCGTGTCAGTGTCATGCCTCACGCCCTGCTCAAAAACAAACATTAAAGTATTTACTTACTAATTTTAATATTTTGTACTTCAATCTTTTTGTACTCCTATTTATTTCTGTTTTGTTATATTTTTTTTTTGGTTAAGTTCTCCCTTTTCAGGGAAGGCAAGGGGAACAGTGCCCATACAGCCTAGTCTTAAGTTAAATTATTCTGTTTTTCTTTTTACATTACAATGTCGGTGTGACGCATTCTAATGTTTCTTGAAGTGTTTGGCACGAAATGTATTGAGCTGGCTTTTTCGATAAGCTTCTGTGAGGTAGTCAATACTACAATAAAATTCTCACGTCCACTTGACCGGAATAGCGTATATTTTGACGATTCTACTAATTCTTCAGTTACGCAGACAGTTGTAACACAAAATCACACCAATTTTATTTCACAATATCCACTATGAACGAATTTAAGAATAATTAAAATAAGACGCCAACCACACTCGATGAAATCCCGCCAAAAACCTTTGTTATATTTTTATAAATGATTTCGGCTAAAGGATTGAGTATCTAAAGCCAGAATAAATAAAAAAAAAGAGCATTGAATGTGTCAAAGTCAGTCGGCCTGTCTGAGGCTGTCTGCGTCTCAGTGTTTCCACAATGAGGGGAAATTCCCCTTTTAAGGGGAAACTAGAGTCCAGAGGGGAAGAAAAAGGGGAAAGACATGAAAAGGGGAAATTGCGGGAAATTATGGGTGAAGCCTAGCCTAAAATAATGCAGCACGGAACGGACTATACCGTGGTCTAGAGTGTTGCCGTATAAAAGAAACTGGCAGCACGTGCAGATTTTATAATAAGATAGATTAAGACCTTTTTTTTTTTTTAGTTACTAACACTAGTGCCAAATCTAAAAACTCCAGCAAGATAATTTTTGAGGGGAAAAATGTCCTAAGAAGGGGAAATCTGAATTGAGGCGTGGGGAAAGGAAATCATTAAAGTGGAAACACTGCTGCGTCTGCCTAATTACCTAGCTCGGATTTTGGCAAAATCCTCTGAGAGCCATCACTGATGAAAATCTAATCAAAATAACAACAACCATTTTCTTTCATAAAAATAAATTTAGACAAGTTGTGAAGTCTTCTTCTGGGTCTGTTTAATACTCAGCTATCAAAACAACAGCTGACTGACTGATCCAGCTGCAGACGCGGCCTCCCTATAAATAATGAAACAGCAAGCAGTTAATTTTGGAGGCACAGGTAGCGGGGCCAAAAAATATTTTCAGCATTCGTAAAACGCACGTAACCCACCATATCAACCGCATACATTCCGAACACATTCACTTTCGAATACGCTTGGTAGAATAGTTATACCGATTTGCTCCCAAAACATATTTAAGCAATTTCCTCGAGAGGAATTTAAAAGACATGAAGAATAAATTTAGAAATACAGACTCTGTGATACGTGCCGGTGATCTCATATTGACAGAACAACCCTTTGTATTTGTTTTGTCATCTAAGGAGAAAGGGAGTCGATGTGATAATTGTTTGGATAAGTGAGTATACCATGGATATACTATCTATCGACTTATTTTTCATGAGATAATAAAACTAATTAATAAATTATTATTAAATTATATCTAGCAATAATTATGTAATGGCAGTGAGTGATTTATATTTTTTGCTTCAAACATTGTTATATTAATTATTATTTTGTCTTTTTACCTGTTATAATCTGGTTAAAAGAACTAGTTCCATTGAGAATTGGGTTTATATATTTTTTTAATAGCAGCAGCAATAGTGTAGCACAACAAAAAATATTGTAAATATTGAGTATAAGGTATTGTCATAATAATAATGTTTAAATAAAACTAGTTTATCACGGGTGAATGCACGAAACTTTATTTATTTATTGACGTTTCGAAATAAAAAAAAATACTAGTTTTATTTAATGAGTGATGTGCGTGAAAACCTAAGAAACAAATAATGTTTAAATTTGCATATTTATCTTGTTACAATAATGAATGAATACTACACATTTCAGGGGCAAAGTACTGAAATGTTCAGGATGCCAGTTTGTGCACTACTGTGGGCGCTCATGCCAGAAAGATGCTTGGCCAGATCACAAGGTATGTGGAGACACTGTCAATGTCTATATCAAGGTTTGAATGATAATGGAACTACTGATCTAAATATTTTTAATCATGACACAAAATATACATACATACAGCCAGAATATACAAAAAATACCATTATTAATTTTTCATTTTGTTTGTTTATAGTAGTCTATGTCTGTGATAAAAAGGAATAGTCTTAAATAATTTGTATGATAACACAAATGCATTACCCATTTAAACTGGAGTAGAAAACAAATGTTGCAAATAAAACTCCTCTAAGTAGAACTTGCAGATGAAATCCTAAATGCTTTTGCAACTGAATCAAACACATTTATACCAGTTATTCTCTACAAAATTATTTTTTTGCATTATACCTACAGTATCTGGGTTTAATGACATATAAGTTACAATGTGTACAATTATAAAGAACTTTGTCTGTCTTTATCTGCATAGAATTTAGAATCCCGAAAGCTTAATTGGTATGAAGTTCAAAAATCTACTGTAATAGTAGTTGTTCCAAATCCCACAGAAACTAACATTTTACCAGGATTTGAATTGTCCTATGTCATAATAACAAGTACGTATTCAATAGGTAATTGGTCCAAGTTATTTAGATTAGAAAAAATATTTATATATAACAAAGCATCTGTGCCAAATGTCATTTAAATTGATTCAGCTGTTTTTCCGTAATTGAGTAACAAACATACAAAAGTGACATATTTATAATAAAAATAAATAATATGAAATACTCAGCAAATAGGTTATAACGAAATAAATATTTTTTTTATTGAAAGCATTTCTCTTTGGTAATATTTATTGACATGAATCAATAGGTAGATGTTATAAGAATTTCTTCTTAGTTAGTTACTATTTTCTATAATAATCTAACATTGTATAAATTCATACAAATTAAAAATCTTATGGTGTACCAACACTGGCCCAAAAAAAAAGTTTCATTGCTTTTTTTACAATTTCAGGGATTTTCTATCACTTTAATGATAATTACCATTGAATATCGTAGATTTATTTGCTACATTATAGATAAAGATTTCCATTATTTTGTATCTACCAAATGTAAACATTAACGAAAATAAATCTTTAATATTTCTGTAAGTCTTTGACGTAATAATACTTGGCAGCTAGGCCAAGCCGCGTGCGGGAAAGAAAGCGAATTAAAAAACGGGCCAAATTCTATTGTTTGGGCTGAAGTTGAACCCACTAAACAAAAACGCAACAGCACGTCAAGCTACAAAATATTCACGATCGCTGCTATCGTTTTTTTTACTTTGACCCCACTTCGCGTACCTATTCTTTCCTAGGTACGTCATATTTTTCCTTGCTTGCCAGTTGAACTAACATTCATTAAAAAAAATTAACACTAATTTCGGGAGGGCAGAATACTTTCTTAGTTAGCCTTGCTCCCTAGCTTCGCTCATGATTAAGATTAAAAATCGGTTGGAGAATTTCGATGTGCATGCATGCACGTCGTCTCCCAATCGTGAATTGTCTATATCATGATAAACTTGTATAATTTCATGATCCAACAAATTATAAGAACGGACGACGAAATCGATTTAATAATGAAAAAAATGTTAAATGAAATAAAGGTAGGTAGGTATAGTACGGAAGTGATGAAGAATAATAGGGAAAATGCGTCTTTTATTACTTTATGTTTCATTTAAGAGTGGTTTGCGTGAAACTTAATGAAACAAATATCAGGAGTTTTTTTTTTTTCAAAAAGTATTGGACACGTATTTTATTCACATAATCAAAACATCACAGAGATATATATTTATTGAAGTGTTGTATGGCGTTACGTCTTGGTACAATTTTTACTTAGAAATGACGAGCCCTACTCCTAAACTTTTTTATGACATTTTTGTTTGGTTGACAAAAGAAATTTAATTTTTTGATAATCTAACAGACGAACTAAATAAATTTTCGGTTACTTCACCCCATCATCATCCCTATTGCACTTTTGATTCAAATTGTGCAGATTTTTTCTGAAACATTTTTAACTGCAACGAACCATGTATCTATTTATATGCGTCATTAATGTCGGTTTCTGACTGTTACTGACCGACTAGTAAACAAATGTCCGTCACTCTCATTTGTTCCATTTGTCTGATGTGTACCAGATACAGAGCCGATGGCTGCGTGCCATTTCCTGATATAACAGTTTCTTTTATTTTTATATACACATCGTCGTAACCTAGCGTAACACTGCGAGTCTGTTTTTAGATTGAAAATGATCAATCAATAAGATCTTCTTTCATTATTTTTAGAATGTATTTTTTCAGTATCAATACCTTCATTTTATTATTATGATGAATTCTTGATAACGATTTGAAATAGATTCACGGCCACGCTTTTTGTTTACATAATATCATTGCGGCCACGGGAATTCGATTCGTAGTAGGTACCTAACATATTTTAATGAATAAGCACTAGACTGCATTTAAAAAAAATACAATTTATAATATAATATAATTTATATTGTAATATAATTTTGACGACCTCCGTAGTAGAGTGCCATATTTACTTAAACTATTATTTACTAATCCCGTTACGAGCATTGTGTACCTAAGTCATGGCTGTTTGCACATATTTTCCCGAAAAAACCGAAAAAAGAACTATATATCAACATGTATAATATGTATTTTCTATCCATTAGGTACCTCAGTATCTTATAACCCAAGTTTTGCAATTATACTGTATTTTGATATAGTTTAGACCCATCAATCCAGCCACCTTCTACAATATTTCCTATTGAAAGTATAAACAAACTTATCTGCTGGTATATTTAGCAGGCTGAGGTGTAAACAGGATTAATGCAGAACTTAATCCTTTCTTCCTTCCCTTAATCCTCTTTTGATCCAGGAGAAGTCTAAACAAGAAAACTCCAGTGATTGTTCCCATTTCAGTGGGAGTGCGGGAACTTGAAGCGTGTAGCACCCAAGGTGATTCCTGATGCGGCAAGAATCCTGGCTAAGATCATCAACAAGCTGAGCAGGGGCGATGGACATTCGCACCGGGCGTTCTATTCGGCCACCTCGTTTAGGATGTGGAAGGATCTTATGTCACGTAAGAATATAACACCTCATTTAGTCGATTTCATTCCTGACGGTCGTGATCTGCAAGGAACAGGTTTTTCTTTGGTGATTGGATGACAGCTGCCTCTCGTATATCACAATTACCTATTTAAAGTTTTAAGAATAAAAGTTACCGTACATATCATTTTTCTTTTTTAAAACACACACCAATTAGCCTAGCCCCAAAGTAAGCACTGTAAGGCTAGACTAGGGTAACAGATAGAATACATAAGTTGTACATATATAAGAATATTTATATAGAAATACATCTAATTTTTATTATTTTTAAAGCATGAAACTGCTTGATGTTTAAATCTAAAGAAAATATAACTAGAAAAAATTCCACGCGGACCAGGCAGCAGACGGGACTCGAACCCGCACCCTTCGCAATCCGGGCGAATGCACTGACCAATTATGCTACCGCGGCCCTCACGGACCGCGTCGAATGGCTAGAAGAATTTCGAACCCGGAACCTCTCGAGTCGGCGACACCATGAAACCCGGCGTATAAACCACTCGGCCACGGAGATCTTCAATCAAGTCTTCATTAATCTCGATTGGAGTAAAATGGTGATGGGTTGAAAAATTTGTCCCATTTTGGGCAATAATAATGGGACTAGTAAAGTGTTGATGTTCAGGGGATTACGAAAATGGCATAGCAATTCAACTGAATGCAATTTAATTACCGAATTAAGTCTGAGTAGCATTTATTATTACCAAACCAGAAACTATGTTGTATATTGCTGAGTGTGAATAAAGAAACGCAAAACTTTATACTTTCAGATTATTCAGACCTGAAAGCTGATAAGAGGAGAATGGACCATTTCACATCGCTATGTGTAGTACTCTACGAGTTTTTAAAAGATTTGTCTCTGCCAAATACTGTTGAACTCATGGGATTGTATGGACGGGTATGAGCTTTATTTGTAGTTATTACCTTTGTTAACGCTTACGAATAGAAATTACGTTTATTAAGTATCAGCACATTCGATTCCTGACCCACCATAACCTTATTTTAAGCTCTAAAGTTTTAATACAATAAGGTCTAATTTCGCATTATGTAAGTATCTCTGCAAATAATGCAATACCAATACCTACATTGTTATTTTCGGAACAATCCTGAAAGATCCATTCTTTTCTCCATACAACTCTACCAAGTAAAAAAGCCCGAGTTTATTATAAATACATTTCGAATTTATTATCAGCTTGTAAAAATGTCCATTAAACATTTCAATTAATGGCAACACAGAGAAAAGTTATTATAAATGCAAAAATATTAAATTACAGATGGTGATTAACAGCTTTACTATTCTAGACACGGATTTGAATTCGATCGGCACGGGTGTGTATTTGGCCGCGTCCATTCTGGACCACAGTTGCGACCCGAACGCAGTAGCCACGTTCGACGGGAAGACGATCAGCATCAGGTCGACGATAGACATGCCTTGCTTGGATTGGTCTCAGGTAGGATATAAGAATCATTCAGTGCTCAAACGTCATAGTAATTTATGATATTTACGGGATTGTTACCATGTAATGTACCTTGTTTTTAGCGATTTTCCTATATTTCGGCACTGTTTCAAGCGCCATGATCACGAAGTAAATGAAGTAATTCGAAGTAATGTAGACATATCGGTGTACCCCCGACGAAGTCTTTTCTTGTGTTCGATACCCGGACCACTGTTTAGATTCTCACTATTTACTCGAAACTGTTCTCGACACACAACACTCACAGTATCGGATTGCGACGCGACACTAAAAACAAGGTACTTGGTAACAATCCCGTAAATACACAGTCAGGTCATAAGTATTGTCACACAGTAAAAACTTTTCTTTTAGAATGCTGGCCACAAAAAAGTTTATTGAATTCGAATTTCGAATTGTTCATGAAAATAAAAATGTATACTTTTTAGAATTTTACTCATTTTTAAATATGGAGTGGACGCTAAAAGAAGACCGTGTTTGCAGTTATTACGTTGCATCGTTGCGGTTACGCGCCAATTCAAAGGAGATTGCTCAAATTGGCCTAAATAAATATTGACATACACGGTAATTCTTGGCGTAATTTATAATTTAATTTACAGTCATTAGATTTCAACGGACACCTTTGTATAATATATTTAATTTAAAAAGGACTTTTAATATTACCGGTTTGGAAAACATACGAATCATTTTAATGGCTATGGGTGTAGTAACATTCAGGCAAAGACTGATCGAAGTTGTTTATATAACATAAAAACAAATCTATTTTGTAAAGATCGATAAAATAAATCATTTTTTTATTACACTGTGGTATTAATATCCACCACCATATTATCATTTTCACTAGATGCAAATGTGCTCAGACAATTATTATAGATGGTAGGCGACATCATAAAGTCTATTGCCATACATTTTTCGCCAAACACCTCCATAAACATATTATAATCTGTATATATGTTAGACTTTAAGGTATCTATCTATGGGCCTACGTTTCCTGACTATAAATTAATAAATAAATAAAATTATAAGGTGTGATACACTAAAAATCTAAAATATGGTTATCTTAAAAACAACAAAAATAATGAAGCTACTGAAGATACGGCTATAGAACCTAAATCTCGTAGCTTTCTTTGGTTAACTAGAGTTTAAAAATTCTCTCTAATCTGTGGCTCATTCACAATCATCACACCGTTTCTGTCACAGAGTATCTTATTATAACCGGAAATGACACCTGATTTTAAAAGTTACTCTTACGCATTAACTTTAAAAACAATCAACTATCTGTTAATCTACATGCTCTATATACCTGAATCTAATCCATAATTTCGGTACTTGGCTTGATTTCCCTAGTTTACTATATAACTTATTTGTTTTTTATTATTTTAATATGTTCAGTGTATATGGTTTATAGAAGTTCTCAGGGGTGTCCGTCAATAATATTCGTTTCTACAGTAATTTATATATAATTTCGAATCTAGGAAACAATTTTTCATGATTATTGGTCTTTAGGCCAAACATGTATGGAAGCTGAGCAATCTCCTTTTGGACATACTGATTTTTTTTTATAAAATCAAAAGATTTGTTTAGGGTACCATCAAACGATACAATGAAGACTCTAGAGTAGATGACAGGTCAAGAAGTGGTCGCCCTCGGTCTGTTAGGACTCCAGCAGTGATAAAAGATGTGAAGGCGCGAATTCAAAGAAATCCCTAATAGTCCAGTCGGAATAGCCATAATTTGGACCGACTTCTATTCTAAGACACCAGCGCTTAGCCAATTTTTTCCTAGGTAGTATAGACCCCCACGAATATGCCCTCCATTTGTCCCCGCTAGAACCGCGCTAGGCGCACAGCGGGAAAAAAATTCAGGTGATTCGATTCACCAAGAATTTTGAGGAATCGATCGAGTAGAAAAAAATCGTTAGTAAAAATGTTCGTTTTTGGACGATTTAAATTTTTTTAAAAATTGACGTAGAATATTTTTTTTTTAAACTAATGTATTTTTCTCTCCTCAACTCGAATATACGATTGAAAATTTAAAAAATTCAGTTTATTTATGTACAGAAATTATTTACAAAACTATTAACTAAAATTCGTAATTCTTTTTTCGGATGAAAAAAATTTTACCGTAGAAGAGAGCTACAACAAACAAAATGATAAGGTGTACGCACACAGTAGTGAAGAAGCGAGCAACCGTATGCCGCGTGTCCAACGAGGTCATTTTCTATCCTCGCTCATGGTATGGTTGGGAGTTTCTTATTGGGGCTTAACAGAGGTACATTTTTGTGAGAAAGGTGTAAAAACGAATGCAGTTGTGTATCAAAATACAGTCCTGACGAACCTTGTGGAACCTGTTTCTCATACCATGTTCAATAACAGGCACTGAGTATTCCAACAAGATTCGGCGCCAGCTCATAGAGCAAAGAGCACACAAGACTGAAATCGAGCGTGAAATCGACTTCATCCGGCACGAAGACTGGCCTCCTCCAGTCCAGATTTGAGTCCGTTAGATTACAATATTAGGCAACACTTGGAGGAAAAGGCGTGCTCAAAGCCTCATCCCAATTTGGAGTCACTCAAGACATCCTTGATTAAGGCAGCCCCGATATTGACATGGACCTCGTTCGTGCTGCGATAGACGATTGGCCGCGCAGATTAAAGGCCTGTATTCAAAATCACGCAGGTCATTTTGAATAAACTTTATTGTCATAACAATCTATGTTTTGTTAAGTTCATTTTGGTATATAAATGGTTACATAATGAATAAACTTGTTTCAATTATTTTATATTAAACATGTGACAGAATTTATGACCTGACTAGGTAATATAAATTACTATAATACATACTCTATAGCCTATGTTCATCACGGATAGTGAAGGATTCTAAATGTGAGAGAATTTTTCGAATCGGTCTTGTAGTTTCGGCGCCTATTCAATACAAACAAACAAATCTTTCCTGTTTATAATATCAGTATAATTAAATTCTTAAATTAATGTATTAAACTAGATTATTCTTATTTTCCAGATAAGAATTTCGTACATAGATTTAATGAAGACACCTTACGAGAGGCAAACTGAATTGTTGGACAACTACTACTTCTTGTGCCAGTGTGACAGGTGCATGGGTAAATGCTTTAGATGTGCCTACTTATTCGTATACTCTTTTCTATTTCCTTGTTAGCATGTTGCAAAGTTTCTGTTCTCTAACCTCCTTATTTATAAACGAGGGATAAGCCTAGACTAGTTACGCAGTGTTTAAAAGAAAATATAACTAGAAAAAATTCCACGCGAACCAGGCAACAGACGGGACTCGAACCCGCACCCTTCGCTATCCGGGCGAATGCACTGACCAATTATGCTACCGCAGCCCTGACGGCCGCGTCGAAATTCTTCTAGCCATTATTAAGCCGCAAGGCGCGCCATCTCTTCGCATTATAGGTAACCCACAATGTCGAATGAATACTTTTACAAGTATTAAACATTATATAATGGTTAGAAGAATTTCGACGCGGCCGTCAGGGCCACGGTACTATAATTGGTCAGTGCATTCGCCCGGATAGCGAAGGGTGCGGGTTCGAGTCCCATCTGCTGCTTGGTCCGCGTGGATTTTTTTCTAGTTATATTTTCTTTAGATTTAAACATCAAGTAATTACATGCTTAAGATCTATTCTAGACGGATGTAATTCAGCGTACCAACCAAGGTGACCTTGGCCGTTGCCAAGGACGAAGACGAAGGATGTAATCCAAATTTTGATTTGACCTTCAACGTCCTTTGATTACGGGCGCGTGTTTACATCCGCGGTTGGAGCGCGTGGATTACAAGCGTTTGGCCGGCGGATTACATCCAACCAAAGACAGTTGCGCTGTGGCACTCAGCGGGTGCGCACGTATGCATGTAAAAAATTCGTCCGAAGACCAGAGTCGCGAACGCGATATTACTAGAGAACTAATTGATCTCTATAGATCTCCCATGCTTAAGGGACATTACGTTGGAATCATATAAAGATGCTCGTCAAAAAAAATGCGTGGCAGATATTACTCGAAAAGTATACGGAGTTGGACATAAGTTTGAATGGCAGAGAATCATTCGCTTTTTTAACCAACGCTTCATCCACTTTCTCTTTTTGTGTTGTTTTTCGTCGTCTATTGCACACAAAACTCCTAATGCAATGCCCACTTTTTGAAATTTAGATAAATTTTCCACAACACGGTGCATACGTGTTTTCACGTCAGAAGACTGCTCGCGATTGCGTGTTGGCGCGTGGATTACATCCGTCTAGAATAGGCTGAAAAAATAAAAATTATAACTACGCAGTGCTTTTTTCACATCACTCAAATGGCTTTTGTCATTGAATGGACAGTGACAAAAATGCGAGTAACTAATCCAAGCTAAGTCTTCGTTTATTAATAAGGGGGTATGGGTCTTGTCTTTGATTATATACACGCCTAACTAGAGCAATTCAAATAAACTACGCAAAGAAAATGGCTCATGTTACACGCAATGTGTGCGTGACTAATGTTAAAGCGTTTAAAAGCAGTCAGGTGCAGATTCGGGCACTTACACGTTTATTAGTGAAGTGCACGGTTCTTGCAGCTGGCTGGATCACTGTGTAGTGTCTGAAGCCGCAAAACAATGTGTAACTGACGTTTTTGTCAGTTATGACACTTTTTGGTCCGACCACTTTCCTTTGATAATAAAATGTGATCTATATTTATTAACTCCCATCGTAGCTGGGGATAATATTACTTGTACCAAAAATCATGTCTTGTGGGGTATGAGAAACAAGGAACAAGTGGCCAGGTATACTGAAGAGTGTCATAAAAGACTTAAAACAATAGACTTTCCAAATGAATTTATTGACTGTGCCAACTCCTATTGTAATAATGAAAGTCATAAATATGTACTTGACAGACTTTACTCTGACATTGTGTCTGCCCTTTCTGATGCGTCTTGTGCTGGTCGAGAGGACGCTGGTGGTGGTTGGAGTGGCTCAGGTGTGGCAGGGTGGAACAAGTGCGTCGCCGAGGCTCATAGGACGGCACGTTTAAAATATTTTGAATGGTTAAGGTGCGGTAAGCCGCGTTCGGGTATCATTTTCAATGATATGTCTGAAAGCAGGAGGATCTTTAAGTCACGCTTGAAATGGTGCCAAAATCACCAGGACCAATTACGAATGGACGCCCTTGCTGAAAAACATTCGAGCGGAGATTTTCAGAGTTTCTGGAGATTTATAAAAAGGGACAACTTAAAACCGAGCTGTCCTATGGTCATCGACGGTAAGTGTGATCATAAGGAGATCGCTGATGCCTTTAGGTCTCATTTTACTATACAGTCTCCCTTAGGGCTGGTGGGTCGGGTTTTCGATGCTGAATTACTAAATGGGAATGGGGCTGTGAATATACAAGTCTCAGCGAAAGAATTAGCTACTATTGTAAAAACCATGACCAGGGGAAAGTCTCCTGGTCATGATGGTCTCAGCGTCGAGCACGTACGGCATGCCGGGCCTCACGCTTATAGGGTACTCGCAATGTTTTATTCGCTGTGTGTGAGTCACTCTTATTTACCGTCAGGCGTAATGAAGACAGTGGTAGTACCTATAGTGAAAAATAAAACCGGTGACATTGCTGATAAAAGTAACTATAGGCCAATTTCCTTAGCTACGATCATAGCAAAAATATTTGACGCTGTGCTCAATGAAAAGTTAAATGAACACATTCACTTGCACGACAATCAGTTTGGATTTAGATCCAAATTGTCCACTGAGAGTGCAATACTGAGTCTAAAGCACAGCGTCAGGTATTATACGAATCGTAAGACTCCAGTATATGCGTGTTTCCTGGATTTATCCCGGGCTTTTGACCTGGTGGCGTACGAGGTTTTATGGAGCAAGTTGGACAAGATGGGTCTACCACGAGAACTTATTAACATCTTTAAGTACTGGTATTCACATCAAATTAACAACGTCAGATGGGGGGGCGCAGTGTCGGAGCCATATCGTCTTCAGTGCGGTGTTAGGCAGGGTGGGCTGACCTCTCCCACTCTTTTTAATTTATATATGGACGCGCTAATCGTGGAGCTCAGCAGTAGCCATGTCGGCTGTCACGTTGATGGAATCTGTGTCAATAATCTTAGTTACGCGGACGATATGGTTCTGCTGAGTGCCTCGGTCTGTGGCTTAAGACACCTGTTGCGCATCTGTGAGAAATACGCTTGCGAGCATGGATTAAAGTACAATCCTACGAAAAGTCAGTTCATGGTTTTCGAGGCTGGTGGTGCTAGATGCCCAGAGAATGTGCCAGCAATACATCTCAATAACATCCCGCTCGAAAGAGTGTACCATTTCAAATATCTGGGGCATATAGTTACTGCTGACCTCGACGACAGTGCTGACATTGAGCGGGAACGGAGAGCATTGTCAAGAAGGGCAAATATGTTGGCGCGCAAGTTTTCACGAAGTTCAGTAGAGGTGAAAATTACACTCTTTCGTGCTTACTGCACTTCTTTGTACACATGTGCTTTGTGGGCCCGCTATTCTCGGAGAGTGTATAACGCGCTTCGCGTGCAATTTAACAATGCTTTTAGGGCACTCCTGGGGCTACCCCGTTACTGTAGCGCCTCGGGAATGTTCGCAATAGCACATACAAACTGCTTTTTCACCACCATGCGCAAAAGGTGTGCATCCCTTGTAAGTAGAGTGAGGGCAAGCCCAAATAAAGTCCTGGCTATGATAGCGGAGAGGTTTGACTGTCCTTACATGCGGCATTGTTGTGCACAGCATATATTATCTAATGGAGGTGTGTAATGTTATTAAATACAATTGTAAAAATATTTTATATTAAAAAAAAAATACGGTTTGATATAAATAAGAAATTTTGTGTTCCTATGACATTTTAATATTCATTTTGTGTATGACATTATAATAATATTAACTTGACCTTTGATTTTTAATTATTTTATTTGATGGAAACTATTAAATTTAAATTATGTAATTTATTAAATTAAATAAATGATTAGGTGTATTTTAAGTGACATGTGCCTATTTCTACAATAATTGATTATGCATTATTATTATGATTATGAGTTATGTTGCTCGAAATAAATGAATTTTATTTTATTTTAATGTGTGCGTGTGTATCGCAGAGTGTATCTACCATATGTGGAAGATATTTTTTTTTGGCGCTGCCGTGCAGTTAATTCCGTATATATAATCAAAGATTTATATTCTAGGCGTGTATATAATCAAAGAGTCTTGTATAGAATACTTTTCAGAGAAAAGGAATAATCTTATCCTATTTTCTAACTTTGCATTGAACACCTGTCTTAAGCTGTTGTCTGTATACTCATTTGGGAAACGTATATTTTCTTTAAATTTTTAGTTTATTAACTTAGTGCATTATTGCTGCAATTTTGTGACAGTAAATAGAATACATTAATTGATGGTAACCAACATCCTAAAAGTCATATTAAAATTTTAGATGAAACGCAACTGAAAATGGTTCATTCTGCTAAGTGTCTCAACGACTCCTGTGATAACCCCGTAGCTATAAATTGGAAAGAAAATTGCCAGCTTGTTCGAAAACCAGACAATAACAAACTAGAAGAATTGTCTTCCATGAATGGACACTCGGATTCCATTGAAACAATTAACAATCAAAATGGCATAGCAGACCAATTTGGTGATGTGAACAGTATAACTGCTACAGATAATGTAGTACGCTGCAATGAATGCGGAACCAAATACACTGAAAAATATCTGGAGCAATTCGTAAAAGCTATGGAATTCACCGAAATGCATTTACAGAACATGAAAGAAGCTTCAGTGGCCTGTATCCTTTTCGAAATGAAGAACTAATGGAATTATACCATATTCATATAGGCATAGAGAAAGCTGTTTTGATCGTCCAATATTTTTTCCTACCTGACTTGATGGAAGAGGGAGATTGGGCCATGGCCCACTACGCTAGTGCGGATTGATGGGTGCTAACGACTGCAGATGCAGCCGGGACCAACGGCATAACGTGCCTAGATATAATAAAATTTTGGTCCCCCATCCTCTAACTAGCCATTGTGAAAGTTGCTTAACTTCCACAATCACAGACCGAACGCGCCAACTTCGAGAGCTATCGAACTCGTCATTATTACTTTATTTCAGTACTAGTGGATGCCCGCGACTTCGTCTACGTGTACAAATTAGTTCTTAGTTTAAATTTTTACCTCCATTTTCAACCTCTTAAAAAATATTTATAGAATAAATTCCTATGACGTTTCCTGGAATTGAAACTAATTCTATACCAAATTTCATCTAAATCGGTTCAGCGCTTAAAGTGTTAAGAGGTAACAGACAGACACTGTGGCATTTATAATATACTAGCAATGACCGCCCGCGTAATGTTTACTTTTTTTGAGAAGCCCTCCGGAACCAACATTTTTTCCAGATAAAAAGTATCATATGCCTCAAAGTTGTGCCTGCCTGTTCATTAGTTTTGTGTGATTGAGTAAGAAACATACAAGCTTTCATATTTATAATACAAGTAGGAAGTAGGATCATAATATAAGTATAGCTAAATATTACTTTTAAAAATGGATTTGCCTTAATCGTGGTACAGATGTTGATGTCTGCAAATACTGTTTAGAGCGACAAGAGGGAGTTCTTCACCCATTGAATGTGATGCATGCACAAACTCTAGATCATGCTTTCGATGCCTTTTTGCAAGTTGAACTCTGGCAGAAAGCCTGCGAGTATGCTGAAAGATTGATTCCTTGTTTTAGGTAAGTTGTTATTTTTGGTAAGGGGCAAGTTCAAAGCCTATAGAGGCTGGAAAAAGTCTTCTATGACTTGACACTGCCTACATCACCTTTTATATGTATGTTATTAATTCGCCTGTGTGTATTTTCTATATATCTTATTTATTATTTACTAGTGGCCAGCCCTCGCTTCGCTTCGGTGTAGAGCTGTATAGTGTAGACTTTAGTTTTTGTCCTCAGGCTTGTAATCACAATGACTTTAAATAGGCACTCACTCACCGCCGGCCCCCCGGCCAGTACCGCCCGTCCCGGTATGTCCCTGTATTTTAAATCCGTAATATCTTCGAAAATATTTATTTAAATGACTTGCTGTACAGGGCCATATTGATCTATATTAAATTCACAATGTATATAAGGTACTTAATTTGATAAGGATGAATGCTGTATTGCATAAAGACGCTTTTTTTGAAAAAGTAAAGGATTAAAAATTACATATACCATCGCAGACTTTTTTGAAGACCTTTTTAAGGTGTACAATACTGTAGTACATTATTTTGATCTATCTCGTAGGGTTCTGCCAGCGTTTGCAACGTAAGCGCAAAAAATGTGTTTATTTACGACCTTACATTAAAAAACTCTAAAATTATCAGTGTTTGTTTCTCTACTATATTATGCATGTATTATACATATAAACCTTCGTCTTCAATCACTCTATCTATTAAAAAAACACCGCATCAAAATCCGTTGCATAGTTTTAAAGATCTAAGCATACATAGGGACAGACAGACAGCGGGAAGCGACTTTGCCTTATACTATGTAGTGATTTCTACACAACTATTAGTAGCTGATAAAGTTAGTAGATGGTTTTTTCCTGCCAATCTATGGTAGTATAATGTCTTAAACTTTACAGGTTCTATTATGGTGATCGACATCCACTACTTGGACTACTATATTTGAAGTATGGAAAGATACTTCTGTATACAATGGAATTAGATAAAGCATTAATTCAACTCAAGTCTTCTGAGAAAATTTTGAAAATCACTCATGGTGATAAACATCCCTTGTACAGAGAACAGTTGATGCCTTTAATCAGACAAGCAATGATCGAGTCATCACAGTGAATTTTGATAATTTTCTATTTGTCAATTATAATTATGTAACAAGGCTGTGTGTGCAATAAACATTATGAGTAAGTAAAGATTTGTTTGTTTTAATATAGTTTCCTTATTATCACAACTGTTGGTGAGAGGCTAAAAATCATTATCTATGCAACAAAAACTTCTTTAGAAAATGTAAATACTGAATTTTTAATGTATTTATTATAATAAACAATTTTAATAAAATAATATCTTGTTATTTAATTTTACAAATAAATAAAATTAACATTATTGTATTTGTATTTCTTGTAACCCTAAAATAATGTTTTCATCAAAGGTCTTTGGTTATCATTATAAATAATTTTTGTCTGCAAGTCTTTGTCTGTGTCATAATAATGTCCATTAGAGAATATAAAGAGGAGGTTCTCGGGTCTGCGGCTAGATCCATAAGTTGTAAAATTTTATGTCGTAAATAACAGTTTAGGGTGGAAGTATTTTTGTAATGAATTTATTTATTTATTAGTCCTTACCACATTTTCCAGTCCACACATTACTTATGGATAAACTAATACTATGGTTGTCTTAATTAGTTTGTCAAGTCATTATGTCAATAATATTTTGCTCTTTTTGGGGGAGCTTCATCATCAGCCTCTAACACTTTAATGCGAACTCCACAAATCTCTGCACCATGTAGAACTTTGATTGCTTCATCTGCCGCTTGAGCAGTGGCATATCGCGCATATCCCACAGTTTTCCCAGGTAGCGTATAAACATTAATAAGGTCACCAAAACGACAGAACACATCACGCAAAACTGTCAAAGGAGGTGGCTGGGGCTTACATACTAAAAAGCATCGTTTAGCTGCAGGACTGTCAATGTCAGCAAGTGGTTGTTGTTTCGGTAACTGAACACTACAATAGTTTAAGTCATTGCTGTCTGGTATGTTGTCATCGTTAACACCTGAAGTTGCCATTTTAATTATTTTGGATGCCTGTGATATCGCTTCAGCTAATTGAGCTAAATCAGGGGATGATGAATTTGTTGTTTCTGCAATAGCATTTTTTAGATTGCTCACAACTTGTGAAACATTTGAAAAGTTTTGCTCTTGTGGGTCAAAGTTAACATTGTCTGGTTTCACAAATATTTTAGCTCCAGGTGGATATTCAAATTTATTTAATTTTTCAACAGCATATGCAGCTGAAACAGGATTGGAATAAGTTACTGTACCTTTACCAACGTTGCGCATTAAGTCAACAAAAAATTGGCAGTGCTCCATGCCTGGAACAATATCAAATAACTTCTCCACATCTTTCTGGGTGAGATAAGGACAACAGATAAAATGTACTCGTTTGTAACCTTCAGGACGAACATTCATTGCTGAGAATAGAGGATTCCTTATGTTTGATGCGGATGCTAAAGAATTAATGCTCATTTCAAATGATGTCTCTGGTCGTCTATTGTAACCCTTGGGTAATGCAAATATTGCTCTGTAGGACGGGTTACATTCTTCAATAGCCAGAGCAGCTTGTGAAAATTTTCTGAATTTCACATAAGCAAAACCTTTATTTTCACCTGTGTTTTTATCTCTTAACATATGTATACTTTCAACACTTCCATATGTAGAAAAATAATCTTTTATTGCCTCTTCATTTGATTGCCTTGGGACAGTAATGAATATTCTTTTGTGCTTTTCATTGTCTTCATCTGTTTGAATTTCTGATCGATTTGCAGCCACCATAACTTTCAGAGGTCGATTAGCACCAGGCAATGCTTGCATATTCATTTTTTCTAATGCAAAAGCAGCTTCTGAGGTTTTAGAAAATTTGATGAAAATTATACCTTTCGGTTGTCCAGTATTATGGTCTCGAGGTATTCTTATGTCTTCGATAGTCCCAAAAGATAAAAATGCATCTCTTATTTCATTCTCTTCAGTCTTTTTATCACAAACTATAAATAATCTGGAGTACATAGGAGAATCAGAAGGTGGCTCATCATTGCGGCTCGTCTTGCGGCGATAATCCATTATTTATTTTGAAAGGACCAATTTGACGAGTAAAATGCAAATAATTACTTTTTTTCTAAATGCGATTCGCATGAAAAAATATTTAATATCGCAGAATTAACACTTCGTATTTACACTGACCTTAGCCAAATTTTTAGGAACAAAAGCAAAGAGTAGTATTTGAACAAAAGCATTGGAGCTCAATTTTATTACTAGAGATGTAACGACTTGACTTTTCAAACCGGTTCAAACCGGTTTGAGCATGGACCGAGTTGAATCGGTTAACGTCTTCGTAAACCGGTTCTACCGTGGCATTCGTTCGTATCGCGCTGCGCGCATGCGCGCCTGTCAATTCTCGTTTATGCCGCCATCCACAAATCGCGTGCGGCTCCTGACGTGCTTTACCGACCCTAATAAAACTTGACCTACCAATACGAACCGACTTACAGCAGCGGATACGGTTAGCGCGCATCGACAATTTAAATACAACAGCCATAACCGACTTACCGACCGAACCGAAATGAAACGGACTCTGGTAGATTTGACTAACTTGACGGTGTAATTTTGTTTTCATTATTATGTAATATGCGACGTTATTGCCCAGCTTCTAAAAAAATAGACCAAATATTATTCCTAAATAGTTGTAAGAAAACTTTTTAATTGTTGTTTGTACCAAATAAAGTTTCTACGACTCAAATGATTTTACAAAAATAAGTTACGTATTTATTATATTGTTGATTATTAAAATTGTATTTTATTCTCAAAGTTAAGAAGTACGGTTTTATGTAATTAATAGAGTTTATATATTTTTTGTAATTTTTTAAACACGGTATTACATAGATATTTGTTTATTTTTATTTTGACATTTTTAATTCTGATTATTATTATTTGTTTTCATATTTTAATTGTTATTTTTCAATTACCTTTAAATATTTGCACGATGTAATATCTATAAAATATGTAGAATTAAAAAAAATAGCACCTGTTGCTTCGTAAGTTTCATTCGTCAACTCGTCAAACGGTTCAAACCGGTTCAAACCGCGGTTTACTGAAAATTTGGCGGTTCGGTTCGGAAACCGATTTGCATGTATTACTAACCGATCAAATCCGGTTTGTCAAAATTCAAGACCGTAACATCACTATTTATTACCTGTCGGTCTGTCACTGACGCACAGAGTACCTTATTATAACCGGAAACACTGACGGATCTGACAGACTAAACAAAATAGACTAATCGGGATGCCCGATCTGATACGATCTTTTGGACAATCGATTAATGGCAATACGATCTATCCATGTTTAATAGATTCAATAGGATGTGATTTTTTCCCAGATTGAATTGTATGCCAAGAAGATCGTATGAAAAAATCTAATGATATGACATTAAAAATAATTTAGCTAAATAACAAAATATCTTTGCAAGCAATAGCATTTTATATATGAGGAGCTGGCATGCAAACAAAACGGTATCACACTAATATTATAAAGGCGAAAGTTTGAGAGTGTGTATGTTTGTTACTTCTTCACGTCTAAACGGCTGGAGCGATTTTAATAAAATTTGGTATGGAGTTAGCTGATACTCTAGATTAACACATAGACTACTTTTATCCTGAAAAAATGTTAGGTTCCAGAGGGATTTTCAATAAACTAATTAACGCAAACGAAGTCGCGGGTGACCTATACTAATTACATAAAATTAAATTTTAAAGGAGGTGTATAAAAGTGAATGACATACATACAGTGAGTTTTTGGCATGGTTATTAATTTTTAAAGGATGGGTCAACCTCCATACATCGTATTATTTCAAATAGAATTTTTGCGTCTTTCAACAAATGATATATCATTAGATTCTGCTATATTTGTAAGAATCACGACGAAAAAAAGCGTACGTTACGTATCTGTATTTTTTTTTATTACAGACATGGATTTTTTGCACAAAAATCTTATCAATTATATCAATATCACAGATAAATTCAAATTGTAATAGAAGCCATTTGATGTTATTACCAAGCCACCTGTGCTGTCTCAACCAGTCGCTCTACAAAGATCCTGCTAGGTGGGTACCTACTACCGCAGTGCGAGAAAGATATTTTCCCGTAAAATAGTAATCCTAATGCATTACTGTGTTTCGGAAAGACGGAACTGTGGCTAATGAAATTATTGGGTAAGTATTTGAAGGCTTACCAACTAACGCGTCGGGTGACGTTCGCAAATTTAACACTGTTTTAAGCCTTTTTGATTGAAAATTGTTGGAGATTCAAATTCAACGGGCCCAAAACAAAATGGAATTGTTTTAAGTAAAGTTTTCTTTAGATTAAGGCAGTAGCATTGTTACGGTGGGTGAGGGATAAAACGTCTAAATAAAAACTAAAAAAACGTCTTAATGGTGTAGATTGATGTTTTTAAGTTTAGAGAATCATGCCAGAGAGCTGTGAATATATATTTAGATGTTTTTTTTATTCAAATAACTACATAAATTAATTGTATCCATCGAATTGTCATTTTGTCAATAACTATAAAGTAGAATCAATTATCTAACAAAAAACTATGACTGCAATGCATGGCTTTCCCAAAAAGTCCAGACGGGAAAAAGAAATTAAACATATTACCCAGTATCCGATTGTTATAGGCAATTGGTAAGTGTTAAATGTCTATAAAATCTTGCCTTAAAAGAAAAAAGCAAATAACCTAAGTTGTTTTCGTCAATTAGCAAAAATTCAGTGTAGTATTGCTTTGATTAAACTTGAAAAAAAAAGTGCTAGTATAACCTTGTTTGCAGTGCGTTAAATTAATAATTTTGCACATGTTTTGTGGTTTTTTTTATTAAAATTTTCATACGATTTTCCAGAATCACCTCAAGATCGATTTAATGCCATACGGATTATACTGTGAATCGATTCATGGTGTTACTTCACGTTCAATCCATATCGATAACGATCCACAAGACCGGGAATCCCTGCACCAAAGAGTAGTATTTATTGAAGTTATACTTCTTTAGGCGCGTTATGAAAAAATGATGAGAGTGAAATTTTAAGATGCGCGCGCATCACTGTAACCGCACATTAAGAAAATCTACCAACAAAATAGAAATAGAATCTCTGTTTTGTGGGTGCTAACGACTGCATTGTGAAGGCCTATCAAAAGTATTTATTAATCTGGAACAACGGAACCAAAGCGCGATTCAGGAGACTACAGCGCCATCTCTTCACCATTGGTGTAGTAGAACCAAAAACCACATTTTTATTTTTTGTAATAAAGTAACAAAAAGTATTTATTAATCTGGAACAACGGAACCAAAGCGCGATTCAGGAGACAACAGCGCCATCTCTTGACCATTGGTGTAGTAGAACCAAAAACCACATCTTTATTTTTTGTAATAAAGTAACAGTTATAGGTATTCATATTTATAATATTTATCCACATGTTTCTAGTTTGTATATTCGGAATACGTGTTTGAGTTTCATACAAGTGCAAATCACATATGTTCTAATAAATTATATTCAGTAGCGATTTTAATTGAATATTTTGATTATTTATTTATTTTTCAAATTAAAACTGAACTTTATTGACTGTGTCCTTTTCCAGACTTCTTATTAATTTATTGTAATTAATTATTTGCATGCAATTAAAAACTAATTTTAAACGATGCCAAAGAAGGATAACTTCTCACGCGCCTACATAAGTACACGCACCCATTTTTTTATACTGACTGTCACTCCCTGGCACAGATATACCATGATTGCGCAAGATTTTGTCTATCTATATATTTTGTCTTTTTTTACTTGATGTATGAACTATAGACGTACATACAGTTTCGTCTTAATTTATTACAGTTTAATCCAAAAATACAAAAGGAAAACTGTTCCACAACTGAAACTCGATGACAGCTAATGTACATAAGTTTGGTGTTGCCAGACACATGAATAATGTTAGTTCCTCAACCATTCATGTCACGACTTTATAGACAAACTGGTGTCAATTCTAGCATGATTCTCTAAACTTAAACTTAAATTTGACAGCAGTGTATCCTTGTTATTCTCTATACAGAATGAAAAGGAGAGACTAACGTTACATTTAGTTTTAAGTTAAGAGAATCACGCCAGAATTGGCGCCACTGTAGAAAACCAATAATAGGCATCTGTATTACAAATAAATATTGGACTGGAAGCAATTTTTTTAGAAAAAATATTTTACTTAGACATCACGAAATCTGAAAAAACAGTCTATATACATGGTATCGTATTAAAAGTTTAGAAATTATTAATATTCGATTCAATTAAAGACTGAGAGAGTAAGGAAAAGTGATATCATACCCTTAAGTTACGACACGACAATCCTACAAGGTAGAAAGAGACGCAACATGATGTACCTTTGGTCCGATGAAGTAAGAGTCAACAGCGTCTCGTCAAGTTGTCAACTCAAATATCGTGATAAAGTTTAAATTCGGTGAAAATAAGGAAACAAATTGTGCTTATACAATTCAATATGTGTTTTAAGCATATCTTGACAAAACGATACTGGTGTTGATTCTGGCACGATTCTCTAAATTTAAACTTAAATTTGACAACAGTGTATCCTTGTCATTCTCTATACAGAATGAAAAGGATAGACTGATGTTTAATTTAGTTTTAAGTCCAGAGAATTACGTTCACGCCGGAATTGACACAAATATCACTCACAATCAAACACGGATATGCGCATTTAAATTTTTGACTTTTTTACTTAAAAATTAATGGAATTCCTTTGCGGTTCCTACAAATGTGTCCTGCCACGGTCGGAAAATACTTCTGTAGGTATAGTATAAATATATAAGTTATGGGAAGTGTAAGTTATAATGGAGATCCAAAAAGAACCATTGCGAAACAGTAAGATAACCCATGGACTTATAAACTAGTTAATTAGCAAAACAGTATTTTTGGAATCAGTGGGCCTGGCCTGATTCTCTTTACAGAATGCTTTTCATTCTTGATTTGTTTCAGGTTTAAAGCCTAGTTATGTATATAATTTCCTTGTTTAAAGCACATACTGGTGTCGTTTCTGGCATGATTCTCTAAACCTAAACTTAAATTTGACAATAGTCCATCCTTGTCATTCTTAGGGATACCATCTAGGTATCGATACTTTTACTCGATATTGTATCGGCCATAAAGCATTGATACTTATTTGTATCGATAATTTTTTACGAACGATATTATAATTACAAATTGAGACACAGTATTAATTTAAGGAAAACAAAATAACGGCTTACACCACGCAATGAACGAATGACTGACTGAATAAATTGGAATAAATATAAATCATACTCATAGCTGCCCTCATTTGGCAGCTATGAGTATGATTTATATTTAATCAAGTGGTGTCGTGTAAGTTAGTGCAAGTGGAAAAGATGCGTTCGCGAAATAAAAATTCCAACTAAACACCTTACCATACAGTAAATAATCTACCTATCGAGTTATTTGATACTTCTCAGCGAGTGACCCACCGAGTACCGATACAGGTACTTACTTCACGATACTACTTGTGACTTAGTTCTAAACTCAGTATCGATGCCAAAAGTACTTGGTATCGAAAAAAAAGTATCCAGTAGTTACTTGTCTATACTCGTATCGTTTCATCCCTAGAGCCTAGTCATTCTCTATACAGCATGAAAAGGAGAGACTGATGTTAAATTTAGGTTTAAGTTTTGAGTATCATGCCTGAATCGACACAACTAAGTGCCCAGTATTGTAAGGACTTATTGCAGAAAACGGTTAAATTTAAAAATATTTAACTGGCAACATTAAAATTATTTATGTCAAGCTTTGGAGAATTTTGCTTTACATCGTTCTTTCAATTTTAGTTAATTTGGGATAAATTAAAACGTTAATTAGTGCGTATTATCAATCTAACCAAGTATTTGAATGAAAAAAAAAACAATTGGAAAGCATTTTAGTGTTTAACAATGTAAACTGTATTGGTTTCTTGTTCTATCGACCGTGTCAAAATTCATCAAATGGTGCTCAGAAGCGAAGGAGAACACACTGCTCGCTGTGCATCAGTAACAAACATTCCGTGTTCTGTATACATACTTAGTATGATCGGTTAGCCGACTACCCGAATAAAAAATATTCTAGTCTACTTCTTCCATTTACCCTCGTTATAATCACATTGGTTGGACTATTAGAGTATCATCAGAGTGAAGGACTGGTTCTATAAAAATGTTTCGTGAATCTTATGAAAGACGTTTACTGCAACAATGCAGCCCGGTGAACAGGAAACAGGGAGTGCTGGTCCGGCCAGAGTACATGGACAGATATATCCCCTACAGGCCGGGTAATAATTGGCAAACCAGCTTTCAAGGTAAGTTTATTTAGCCCAATTTCCTTTAGTCTTCCGGTCTAGTTTTAAAACAAATAATAATTAGTAATAAATATACTAGAACACTTTTTGAACAAGTATAAACCGCAATTATTAAGTTTTTTTCAATCCAATCCTTATTCATTGGTTATAGTTTCAGTTGAAAGTTTACATTAGTCTATTTGTTATGGCTACTATTGCTCAATCTTCTGTTTTAATTTCCAATAAGGTGTAAACATTATTATTGTAAAATTGTAGTATTGATGGATACACTTATTAACTTAAAATTACTTATTTGATTTATGTTACTTAATAATAAAAGTTCAATTTGAGAATTGGACAAGTGACATAGGACTTGTATAATTGAATAATGATACTTTTTATGCTAATTTAGAAATTACAATTTTGAAGGTACCTTTATAATTTTTTTTTGTATATTGTTTTCGGTTAGTTTTGCTATCACTAATATGTTTTATTATACATTTTTTTGTATAAAATATTGCTGATATTAATCATTCTCAGTAGAGAATATTAAATTTTCTATGCAAAGCTTTGTCAAAAAAAACATTTTTATAATACTTGAATAGTATTTTATTCATACAAAATGCAGAGAATTAATTACCCACATCATGTAATGTAAAGTATAAATGGAATCCAGATTTCCATATTTAGTACATATAATGTTTCCCCTTATTTGACATTGGCTAAACACTTTCTGCAAAGCCATTGATAAAAAAAACTAGATTTCTGTTTTTGCCATCGCTTTCATTTCAGAGTTGAGAAAAAGATATGGTTCATCACAATGACACTTTCTTGTTTGAAAGAAAAAACAAAAAGAGACAAAGTCAGATACTCATCATCTATTGTCTGTTTTACCCATTTTGATGTAGTATTAGAGTCACTTGAGCCAATCCATCTTACCCAGTGTGATCACACTTGTGTGAATCAATCACTAGGCAAATAACTAGGCAACCAGTGAGTTGATTATTAGACTTTCTTTTGCTAGGTAAATAATCAGGTGGGGAGAGTCATTTGCCTTCTTGGCTATATATATAAAAAAAACATCTACAAATAAGGTAGCAACCATGTAAAAATAGGTATTAATACATATTGGTAACTAGCTGTTCCCTGCGGTGTTACCCGAGGTTTATTAGGGATATTTTCCCGCAGTAAAACATAGCCTAAGTGTTAATGCAGAGTGTCAGCTAACGCCATACCAAATTTAATTAAAATCGTTGTAGCCGTTTAGATGTGAAGAAGTAACAAACATACACACTCACAAACTTTCACCTTTATAATATTAGTGTGACTAAATTACAATGTTAAATACAATACTTAAAAACAGCTCAATATTTTAACATATCAAAAAAAAAACTTAATTCATCATACATAAAATTAGCATCAGATGATTTCACATTACATTTTTTATACCTGTAGTAAGCTCCATAACAATAAAATTAGGAACCCCAAGTAACTATTCCTACTACCTATATTATTATACTTGTAAAGAGGAAAATACTGAATACTTTATTAAAAATGTCTAGAAATTGCAATTACCAACTATACCCACACTCACATATAGCAAGCGCTGTAGCACTGGCTATTTAGTATGCAAATGAGTGCTTCAAAATAAACATCTGATCTAGCTCTCAATTAATGTAATTTCCTATGGTTGTCCACTTAAAGCATAACCATGGCACAGTACATTTTCCTAAGCAATACTATGCTAACAAAAAATGCCCGAATTGGTCATGCTTCAGGGATTGCAAAGAGTGAACAACCAGCTATGCATATAACCTTGAATTTTTACAATGCTTTTATTCTATTGCTTGTTTCTAACCAAGTGTACATATTCATTTTTTAAATATATATAATAAATTGATGTTTCGGTCTGTACTATATTGTGATGTTTATGATAAATCATATAAAAATACAAATAATAAAGTCAAAATATTTTTCCAGAGGGGTAGGTACGCAGAGTCGCTTTGACTTTGTTTCTGAATCAAGATTAAAGTAAAATCTTTTATCAAAAAGGATTTTTCATAATCATTTCATTATTAACATTAACTAGAGTTGAGATTTATAAATTATCTTTGCATCCACTGAGATTGAATAGTGCTGTATCCACCTTCATGTCATTGAAAAATTAATTACAGCAATCAATATCTGAGGTACCTACTTACATATATATTTTTTACTACAATAGATATGTTGATTGAACTTAGTACCACTGGTAATTTTAGCAGTCTAAATTATTATTATTACAAGTAACTTGAAGCATTCATCAGAAAGCAAAAAAAAACTTAAAAGAACTGTATCAATCAAGAGTCAATACTTTAAACTTATTGTCTTTTTGCCGGCTACTGCTTGTAGAAGTAACGACAATGATACAATTAAAATTTCGATTTACTGTGTAGGTAATGATAGGTTGGCGGTACTTTAGTAGGTAGGAAGGAATATGATGCTTTGATTTTACTTTTTTGTTCTTGACTGTGATGACGACGCTATGTCTAACTAACTATCGAAGTAATTTTTTGAAAGATGTATTTTGCTGTTTGCTGAAGTTGTCATTTTTAAGGGTTTGTATTGTATCCTAAAGTCAATATGGAAATAATGAGCAGTCAGGAAAATATTTTACTGTAGAACTGCGGCCGTGAAATCATAATCGTAATTAGTGACCTAAACATTAATCGGCATACAGATCTAACGCACGCGCAGAAAATACACGTGATCGAATCTTATAATGAATGTTATTTGAAAAGAGCAGTAGCAATAAAAGAAAAACTTCATCATATTTGCCAGAAATAATTATGTTTTGGAAGTTTGTTTTAGATCCCACAAGTTAGCGATCTAAAAAACACTTGTGAAATCGGGATCGCCTAGTTTTTGCCCCCTTTGCTGCTGACTCAATGCCCACTAAATCTTATAGTTTTGGTAATAAACACTGCAAAACCAAAACATTATAGAATAGAATAGCGTTAACTGATTGTAATTTTCATTTTCAACATGGATGAACTGCATTTCACGTTTGAAGTTGGTCACATCGGCAATTCTTCAAACTATTAGTTTTTATTGAGCCTGGTGCAGACGACTTGGCTGTAAAGCAAACTGGTCGGTGTTGTCATTCAGGCTGTCTTTTCTGCGAACTCTGGTCCGATTGGTTTCGTCTCTGGCCGCTCAATATTGGAACACGTTCAGTTCTTCGTTATTGTACGTTATCGCACCAGGGAGAAACTTCAGCTAGATAACAAACATTGAATTAAATGGGATTTGGCTGACTGTAATGTCATTTCATATGGTAGTACCTCTTGTTAACGACCGTTGTTTTAATTTACGACCGACGGGTGCGATAAACTTGTCTTTCTTCTTATCAATGCGTTGCTAGATAAAGACAAGCATATTGCACCAACCCGGTGTCCGGTAAAACAACAGCCGTTCACAAGAAGCCTTATAGTGTACTCATTTTCATGAAAAAGGACTACACTATTATATAGTTCTCGGAAACAAAAAGTTTGTAAATACAATACCAAAAACAATTCGGCAACCTGTTATCTTATCTTCAACCAATTTGCGACAGGTTGAATGCAATCGAATTGCCTGTCCAAAACGGACGCACTAAATGCCAAAACTAAAATCTTCAAAAAGTTGATAACTCCGTTATTGTTCTGAATAACGATAATGAATAAACGAATATTTCGATTTCATTAAAAAAATGAAAAATCAATTCAATCGCATTGTGTCTGTATACTATACTTTGCCTAATTCTTTAATTTTCAAAGCAAACAAACTACATTTGCTACCTTTTATGTAGGTATTATAAAATTAAATAAAATTGTAGTTCTTTTGATCTTGTGCAACAATGAAAGTACTTAACTAATATTTGTACTAGTACCTATTCGTTCTTTAGAACATTCTATTTAATCAATTTGTATTATGTTTTCTCATGTAGGTAGTATAGGTATCTTTATAAACTTTTGGAGTGAATACTAATATGATTATGACGAAACTTCGTAGCGTTCTATTTTATTTTTCTATATTTAAGAGTATATCTTTAACATCTGCCCATTACCGTGGTTAATTACGAGAGTTGTTGCATAGACTTGCGCAAGAGGAGTCAATTAAAAATATCCCAAGATTGTATGGCCCTAGTCCATGCGATCTGGTAATTACGAAGGTTCTGCAGCAAAATTACAAAGTGTAATTAAATCAGGGCCCGTGTTACCACTGACTTACCTATTTGCAATTCATTATAAACCAACTTACGATGTGGTTGGCTACCTTACAAATCGATTTACATAATACATCATATTACATGAAGATCATTATACTTTTGATTCTTCCAATAGCCGTGGGAACATTAGGTACGTTTTCATGGTTTTTTCACATTTTCGTTTAACTAATTTGTTGCTTTTCAAATCATCTTAATTTAGCCGACTTTTGCTTTTAAAATTTTGCCGACTTCACAGAGGTGAATGAACGGCGGCTTTGTCTCTCAAGTTAACTTCTTTAATCAGATTCCCACAACCAGACTAAGAGGTCTAAACACAACAAGTAGTTTTTGTTTTAGAGTTAAAATCTTTATAAAACAGATGCTGCGATTCTACCGCTTTCCAAAAGTAAGTTAATTAACATAACAATATGTTAATTCATCATCTTATCTATTAGTAAAAATGTTATTAATTTATAGCTTTCGTCGCTTCACGGTAACAGTAATTAGTAGGTAGATAATTATAAAACTATCGTACGTGACGTATTGTACTGGATTCTGTTAGTTTCACACCTAGTTGCGTTAAAAGCACAACATCATAGTGTCTCGTCTCGTATCCTACCAAGCGACAAGCATTAGTGCAATGTATATCATATTGAAAAATATGAGAAGTGTTTGGATTTTAGTACAATAAAATTGCTAAGAAAAATTGGAAACGAATTGCGAGAATTTTTTGATTCGAAGAAGAAGCAAGATAGTTATTCGCAAATCTGAAGGGTGTTTTTTTATTGTCAGA